AAATTTTTGTTGGAGAATCACAAGATGTTGAATTGCCATATGACATTGAATTAAGAGAGATGTCTTCACTGGATAGAGTGATCCAAGAAATAAACTCGAGATTTCAACAGCTTCATGAACTTGCCGAGAAAAGTTTTCTTTACTCCTACACATCTTATTGATGATCTGTAACACTTTCAGCTTACACAACTAGATCATGATGACATCAATAAATATGAATTCCTACTTGAAAGAAAAAGATTGCAGCATTTTAAATGCCGTTGCTACTAGTCAAGGTGAAACATATGTGGAAAGAAGGGCCCCTGTAGCTTTTGTAGTTTATTCATAGATATAATCTTGGGAATTCAATTCCAAAGATAGTAATGCTGTGGATTTTCCTCATAATTGCTATCAGTGTTGCTAGCTGCAAGAGGAGTTTTGCTAAAATGAAACTAATAAAAAACTTACAGTCTAATATGAGCACCTTGAGATTGAGAAATCTTGCCATATTGTCTATAGAGAAAACTTACAGAAAGATTTTGACAATGTTATTGCTGATTTTGCCAACAGAAAAGCAAGAAAATATTTTTTGTAGAAAGGTGATAAATTTAAACTAAAATTATTCAAAGAAAACCATTTATGTGTAATTATTAAATTTTTCTTTTTAAAAGATTTAATTCAATTTTTGATCAATAAACAGCTAATTTTTTCTGAATATATTTTTTCACTATGCAGTCAACGAGAATTATTCACACAACCATCAATTTTAAATATTTTTATCCATTTCTCAGAATCCATGTTTTAATGTTGCAACTGTATACTTTGGGAAAATCTTCTGTACATCATTATGTCCAAAAAGCTCAATTTGTTTCATTACTCCATAATACTTGTTCCCAAAAGTAATTTTCTTTGTCCAAGAACATTTTGGCAAAATTAAACTGAGGAACATGGTTTGTGAAGAGGGGCTCATCGTGGTCAAGTTTCCATACAACCCATTTCTATTTAAAGAACATTGTATTGTGAGAGTACTTACACTGATACACATTGTATCCAAACTTTTGGCAATGTCTTTCAAAACAACTCTTGAGCTTATATTAACCTCATGACAGTTTTTGTGCTGTTGTGACAATTTGGGTTTCTTCCATACCCAGGCAAGTTCTGTCGTGCCAAACTGTTTAAACCTCTTTTTAATAGACTGTACTGTAGATCTAGGGATAACTAAGCGGTTTCAAATAGTGCCATAACTATTTCCTGACTTGTAGATGTATTCTGTGGTGAAACGGATGGTGTTTCTCATGTTGCTAGCCATGGCTAGAATGGAGAGAATCTTGTGACATGAACATTATTCTTATCAGCATGTGATAAAATTAGATCTGATAGAAAGTGTTTGCTTTTGACAGATTTCACTGAAAAGCGGATGACTGTAACAAGCCTGGTTCGCGTGAATGGGGCTAGACTTCATTTTCTTTTTTAAGTTCCCTGTGACAATGGGGTGGCTTCCTGCAAACTCTCCCCTGGTTAAGCTAGACACTATTTGTTTTCCTAGCTAATGTGAAAATGTGTTTTTTTTCTCGTCTGTTTCCTGGCATTTGCTTTTGTTATGACCCTGGTCAAGATCCCCCCCATCCCTCAAAATGTATGTACCCTTTTTATTTCCCCAGTCTGTTTATTATTTAAATTAGCGAGTGTGCTGCTTGATTCTGTCTACAGGTACAATGCAGCCACTCATATTTGAGGGGTGAATGCGCTCCACTAATACGTTTTTGTTTGAATATTTGATGTATTTTTAGCTTTTTATCTCCCCCTCCATGTTTCATGGAATCGTTTTTTTTTTTGCGTAAAAAAAAAAAAAAAAAAAAAAAAATCAAACAAGTCAATGACAATTATCCATACACCCATCAATTTCTAATATTTTTATCTATTTATCAATCTAATGCCCACGTGACGCCAGATTTTTTTTATGTATTAATAAGCACACAAAAAGGAATATATATTTGTTATGTTGCATAATATGTTGATACCTAACTGTGGCACAAAGTGGGGAAGTAACTATCAGTAACTATCCTAATCAACTGGATTCACGATCCATTCATTCAATACAATATACAGTCACCACAATACCTCATATTCACAGGGAACATGCAAAACACCCAATGACATAAAAATTTGGAAATGTTCAGTCATATATATATATATATTAAACAATATACACAAGTTTTGTCTATTTTATGTAAATTCTTTTCATAGCGTCTGATAAGCTTAACATTTTCATTAAAAGAAGAAAAGCACAATATTGATACATATTTTTTTTTAATTCTAAGGTTTCGGCTTACATAAGCCATTATCAAAGATGACAATTACAATATATTAAACAATACACTGACAAAACAATGATTGTTGTTTACATGGAATATTTCCAAGCAATGACAAACTCGTGCATACGAGACACTGGAAGTGAATTGTGCCTCAGCTCATGACATGACCACACAAGAGTGAAAACAAGAAGTATTAAGTATGGGAAGCCATGGGTATAAACCAATGGCTTCTGTTATCAATTATAGACATTTAAGAATATTTGTGGAGATTTCTTAGTTTATTTTGTTCAGGTTAGGTTTCAACTGTTTTATGTATATAGCTTCAAGAATTTTTAGTTGTTTTCATGTTTAAGTATAGTTGTGTTTTCAACAAGGATTTTCCAGAATTGTGTATGCAGCCAGGCATATTGTTTTAAATGCCTAAAAATGTTAGAGTTATCATTCAAATGTAGTGTCAAACATCATGAAAGCGAGTTTGTGGTGTGACCAACATATATATTATTTAATCTGTTGCTTGGAAATCTTCCATGTAAACAAAAACAGACTATCATTATTGTTTTGTCCATGTATTGTAATGTAATTGTCATCTTTGATAATGGCTTATGTAAGCCAAAAGCTTAGATAGGATTAAAAAATATGTATCAATAGTAATTTTCTTTCTTTTAATGATAATGTTATTAAGCTTATCAGACAATATGAAAAGAATTTACATAAAATAGACAAAACTTGTCTATATTATTTAATGAAATCTGCATCAATGAAAAATGCCTATATATATATATATATATATATATATATATATATATAAATAAATAAACTTTAAGGAGTTTATGCGCATTGTAATATTGTATTCCTTCTGTAGAGGTGGCAAAAAACACCAGCTATGACACTTAAGATGAACAGATGAGGTAGTAATAATAAAAAAACATTCGACAGAAACAGGTCCACTTCAGATTCAGTGAATATTAAAAAAAAACAAACATTAACTACAAAGACAAGGAAAGAAAGTTGTATGCAAGTTGACACATGCCAATCAATTAAATATAAATCTATGAAAGCTCAAAAGCTGAGTATAGTGAGACTTTCAAAATTGCAATCAAATGTTAAACAAGTTTATACTAACTGATAAATTTGTTTCTAGGTTGTTGCCAACAGTACAGTGAAGCTAGTAGAATGAGCTTGATTAAGTTGATAGACAAGGCCAGCATGAGATGCAAGAGTTATCAGGCAAGAAACAAAAGTCTATTCACAAAAAGTAACACATGATTATTATGCAGAAATCATCCTACATACACTCAAGGACAAATTTCATGAACTGCAAACTCATAATTGCTTACCAGTATATTTTTAAACATTAAACTGGGCTAAATTTAGAACATTTCATGAGTAGGTATTTCTTCCAGTCTCCATTATATAAATTTTCCAAATTCCCAAGAATTGATTAACCCAACATGAGGGTTATTAATGAACAAAACAAAATTTAATCATTAGAAAAACCAAAAGGTATGATATAAAGATGGCCAAAGTGGTTATTAGTTTTAGAAACTAATGCAGAAAGCAAGATAGATTGGCAACAAGGTCTCACCAGTTTACAGGTGAAATAGCTAGATATAACCATATGTTACATACTAACAGTTTCTTTTATCACATTCCTCAATTGTGGAACTCTTCTGGCTTCTTACTTCCCTGTCAACTTTGCATTTAAGTTTTTGAAGATCAATGTTAATTGTTATCTACTATCTTAATTCTTGCCCTTTTGTCTACTCTCCTTAATAGTATATTTTTCTCCTCTTCTAACACTCAGTAACCACCCCTTGCATCTTAGTGGCTTCATTACCATGTTTAGGATGAAATGACTAAAGAGAAAAAAAAGGGTTTTAGCTGAAAATAATATAAAGTGCAATGTATGTAGTAATGTCGATATTTACAAGGGTTTTGAGAATGACCTGTACAAATTTTAGACTAAAATGAAAATTACAATGTAAGCTTTATACAAATGAAAAAATGTTTATTTACACTAAATCAGAATATTTTAAATACTTGCCATTTTTAATCACTACTATATTTTGTCAAGATCAAAAGTCTGACAAATATATAAGACTTTGAAGTTTGAGAAAGAATCTAAAGAAAATAAAAAACTTAGTATTCTGAATATTTTCGCAGGGACACAAGTTTATTAGAGCAATAAAAACATTTTAAAATTCACATACATTATTTTATATATATATACAAAAATGTGATTAAAACTGATTTATCAGTTTTCAGTATAAAAAAAAGGGGTGGGAGAATGACTAAAAAGTCAGAAATTCACAATGTTATATGAAAAAAAAATAAGGCACACAGCTGATTTTGAATAAAATGCTCAGGTATTGGTAAACCTTATGCTTTACTGCATCTCTGCAAACTGTCCAACTTCCCAACGTTAATGAAAAAAAAAAGAACAATTTGAGACACTATATATCAGAAAGTGGAAACTTATTGACAAGTTTCACTTTCATTAGATAGACTTCTTCAGGTTAGAATGAAATGTGCATGTAATATTAGATCATTAATTGTATGTTCATGGCTTTGGTACAAGAATCAGTTTGTTTTCATTCCAACCTAAAGATGCCCATCTATCAAAGGCAAAACATAGAATATGTTTTTCACTTTGATTTTTCAAAAAACTTTGGATTCTATACCCCCTACACACAAACAATAACTCACCAGTAAGAAATGGAATTAGTTCAGTTCTTGTTCTGTCCACTCCAAGTGCTAGAGCTATGGTGGATAATTTCTTTATACTGTTCAACCGAAGCTGAAAAATAAGAAATTGGATTAGGTTGGTCTTCAGATCATTAAGCAAATAATCATTAAAATATTAAATCACATTGGCAATTATCATGAAGTGTCACATTTATAATTTAATGTTAAGTAAAGAGTAACAGATACTAAATGAACAGCATTTACTAACTCATAAAAAGAAAAATGTCAAAAAACTTGCAATAAAAAAAAAAAAAAAAAAAAAAAAAGCATGTAAGAAGCAAAGTTAATAAATTAAACAATTTTAGAATAAGAAGCAATAACTTAAAGCCAAACAGGAAAAGTACATATTCAATGGATTCCAGGTAAGATATACAACTCCTGTAACTTTATCCTTTTTCTGTAAGCTCTCTCAGACCAATAAGGGAAAATACAATGTATATGAATAGAAAGAATAGGTTATTTCAATTAAACATCTACAAGACATTGCTTTAGTTATTAGAGTATTGTCAGCTCAAAGACAAAAGTTGATCAAATGAATATGTGCAGATAAATGCACTGGTATCTGGAACCAAAAAGAGTTTAGTTGTTAATACAAAATTCTAAAACATTTAAAATTTGTTCTTTTTTAATCTTTAGGAAAATCAGATGAGATGATCAGATTGTTTCCACAAAACGAAAAATCAATTTCCAAATACTAATCTTGACATTCCTTTTCAGGGATGAATATATTTACTTCATAGAAATAGTCTATTAGGTCATAAATGACAAACTAATTTTGATGCTGCTTTTGGCATACTTTGTAAATGAGAAGCTCTCAAAGTGGACAGTCATTTTGCATTTTAACCATTTTCAGGTTTTTATCAAAAAATTAAAGTACATAAGACCAACTTAATCGGTTTATATTTTTGTACTCTACAGTAAGCATTAGCTATTGCCACAAAGTTTCAAATCTGTACACACCATTGAGCTATGAATATCAGAAGTTAGTTGAAAGCCATATTCAGATAAAATGCAAAAAGAAAGCAGTAAAATTTCAAGATACAATTTTAAGACTATTAAAGATATGGATCTAATATTTGTGATTTATCAATAATTTTGGTCAAGGGACACCTGTGAATTTTCACAGATTTTGCTGAGTGGGTGATGTATGATCACTGGTTATTTGAGACTAAATGTGATTCTCTATATAACACACACAAACAAACATTCTCCATAACAACTTTAGGCTAGTCACACTACCTTCTGCTTGTGCATGCTTATAGATGGTACTATTATGGTCATGTAACTGAAGTTTGAGCTTGATTGTGTTGATTTTATTGCTGCTGTTACAGTGTAAACACGGCTGCGCTGCTAACAGTGTAAACACAGCTGCGCTGCTAACAGTGTAAACACAGCTGCGCTGCTAACAGTGTGCACCTAGGAGGAAAAAAGAGCAGTGATGTCTGGTTGGAAAGCATGCCAGAAGCTGAAATTCATTGGAGGCTTTTAACACAGTATGGTGACAGGGCACTACCATGTATAAGTGTATAAGAGTGAACCAAGAAGTTAAAAAGTGGCTGGATAAGCATGACACATGAAAGAGTAGAATGCCCACCAACTTCCATCACTGACAAGAAGATTCTGTAAGCTTGAGAGATGGTAATGGTGAACCAGCAAGTTATCATTGATGAATTAGCATGTTCTCTACAGATTTGGAGAACCGCTCTTCGTTTCTCCTTGGTGAACATGACTAGCAGAGCAGTCATGTTTACACTATAACAGCAGCAAGGAAAGTGGTGTGATAAAGCTCAAAACTCCAATCACATGACCACAATAGTACCAACTATAAGCATGCATGGACAAAAAGCAGTGTGACATGCCTATTGATGTTAGGCTGAAAATGTGGATATTTTGATTGCCACCCCCCCACATCTCATATATATAGGTTGGTTTCGCAATTTATGTTTCGATATTGGTCTCTGGTTTTGTTTTCCTTGATACCTGAGATTGATAATACTTAATCCGCTCAACTTGCAATATCTTGTGCATTTCTGGTCCAATCTTAAAAATATGAATATGACTGGCAAGAAAAGAATCTTTCTAAATATGTAATAATTTGTATGTGATTTTATTCATAGAATTCCCCCCACCCCGAGAGTTAAAACGGTATTGTTTCGACCACCCAAAAATGTGAAATATGATCCCCCACCCCGGAGACCAAATTTTACACGTTAGTTTGTTTTGCAAAATCAAAGCGACCAATCTTTAACAATATTCTTGAAATTGTACATTCAATTAGAAGACAACTTAAACTACAACCAGGAAGATATTCATTTCTTCTGACCCAAGGAAGCAAATTCCTTCAAAAAAATATATATATATATATATATATATATATATATATAAGAGAGAGAGAGAGAGAGAGAGAAAAAAAAAAAAAAAAAAATGTAATTCTTTTCTGGTATGCTGTTCAACTATTATTGGGGTTTTGCAAATAAACCTAATATTAAAAATTAAAAGCTTTTAATTTCATTTTTAGAATGTGCAGATTTCCAAATCTGCAAGTAAGTATTACCTGTTCTTTTTTTAGATACACATTTTAAAACTGAAATTAAAAACTGTTTTAATCATTTCAATATAATCTTAAGTGAATTATTCACCAGATAAAACCATAAAGATATTTGTAAAAATAAAATGAATTACTTTAGTTGTTTAGAAGAATTTTATACGGAGAACACTAACAAACACCCACTGAACAGTAGTGGCTATAAAAAAAAAAAAAAAAAAAAAAAAAAAAAAAAAAAAAAAAAAAAGACTTGAAGTTTTGAAAAAATACACATCTTAGAAGTGAAATTAAGAACTATTTTAATCATTCTTAATATCTAATTTAGGTGCATTCCCTAGATAAAAACACATACACACATTTATTTTCTTGTTTACAACTTCATTTTGTTAGTGGCGTAATGGCATACTAGAAAACCCTTACAAAAAACCAGACTTCATAAAATTTAACATTATGAAACTGGCAACTATTTTTCTTGCCACTATTTTGTTAATTTTACTGCAAAAAGTTTTTTTTGGAAACTGAAACAAATAGATTTCAGACATCATGTCATCTTCTTTTCTTCATTTCTTTTGTAAACAAATAGTTTTCACATTTATTTCTTAAAACTAGTCAATTAAATGTTTAACATTTTTGTTCAATCTCTTTCTCTTACAATGGTATAAATGTTGATAAAATTTAGTTTTATTAACATCTGAAAGTCTTTTTCAATAGCATTTCTTTGGATATGGTCACTTAGTAGTGATATAAAAACGAAACCGAATGATTTTGGTTTCGTAAAAAATTTTGATGAGATCACTTAGATTGGCGATTGACCTTTTAGATCGTGCTCTGTTCTTGAAGATGATTCAGACAATCAGATTGAAGACTGCTGAGTTCACTAAAACAATCTCCATTTTACCCTCTCAAAGGCTAAGTGCACAAGGGTGTTATGTGATATTGACAGCTGACAAGTTGCTTTTCAGCTTGTCTTTGTATCTTAGCCATGGGCGTCCTACATTCCTGTAGCCCTGATCTAACTGGCTGTACATTAGGATCTTAGGTATCCCGTCAACAGGCATTTTCAATATGGGACCAGTCCATTGTAACAGACTGTATAAGAAAAGTCTTGATTCCTCCAATATTACACACGCACACACACTAAAGCATGGCATATTTATGGGCTAAAGTGCTCATTATCAAGGATAGGGCACATGTAAATATGAAAGGAAACACTGAGGTCACCACCCAGCAGAAACAGTGTTTCATGCTCAAATGCCATCTTCAGGTCATGTGTGTTGCATTTTGGCTCAACTATTTATATAAACTGGTTAGGACAATACAATTGACTACTCATAATGCACAATTGACTAGCATATATAAATATTTGAGCAAAAACACAACAAATGGCCTGAAGATTGTGCTTAACCATGAAACAGACTGTTGTTACTAGGTGTTGAACTTTGTATCCATCTCTCTCTCTCTCACACAATATATAGGATGATAATTCTTTTTCATTTTATAAAAAAAAAAAAAATAAAAATAAAAATAAAAAATAAAATTAAAATTACACTGTTACACTTCATTGTGTCATAATTGAAAGTAATTCATTGTTTCTTCAGTATATAGTCCCATAATATGTACATTTGAGTATTTCTTGTAAACTTTATAATTATTTTTTTTTCTTAGTCTACTTGAAAAGTAAACTCTTAAAAGTTGATACAATTGTACAAAAATTGTTATAGTCATGCTACCCAAACATCAGCTACCGGGATCTGTGACAGTTGTATTTATCTAAGAAACATTCCAAGATATTAGTTTAATTCAGTGTTTCTCAACTTGTGCACACTAATGTGACCTGAAAAGTAGCCAAGTGTGCTCCAAGTTAACAGAAGAGTAATTCCTGAAATAAAAAAAAAAATTTTTTAAAAAGCTGGATTTCTATTTTCCTAATTTCTAAGTGTGCTCCAGAATTTAGTTATTCTACAAGTGTGCCCTGAAGAAAAAAAAAAAAAAAAAAAAAAGTTGCAAAACACTGGTTTTGTCTATAAACAAATAGACATATGAAGCTAAAATTTTTCTTAACATGAAAATACATTTTATCAAAGTTGTTTCATGTATTTTGTAATCAATGCATATTAGAAAGAGTTATTCCAAAATCAAAAGAATGTAGGAAAAAAAAAAAAAAAAAAAAAAAAAAAATAAAGACAGCCAACCAATAAGTATTACAGTCTAGTACTGCTGTGATAGTCTCAATGATGTTTGCCGTGTAAAGTTCTTGACTTTCACAAAGGCTATCAGAAAAAGATATCTTCATGTAACAGGTTACAGTATTTAAGAGATAAGTGCAACATTGTAATCCAAAGTCAAATAACAGCCTTTTCCTTTTCAGGAAGCATTAATTTGTCTGCCACTTCTTCACAAAATAACTGAAAATTCAAGACTAGTCACAACTTTTCATTAATTTTTGTAATTATAAAAATGTTAAGAATACCTGTACATTTTATCTCAAAGGCACTTGAGAACTGTGTGGTTTTCAATACAAGAAAAATTAAACTAATAACAAATACCACCAGCCAAGTGTCCATGTCTACATTTGTTTTATGGTTATGAAAGTAACAATTTAAATTATTAGTAAAATCTAGTCTTAAACTGATCAAGCAGCAACATAGTAAACATAAAATTATCTTTAATCAAACTAAAACACCATAGTCAGATGACTCTTAAAAAGCTATTAATACATGCACAAAATGGTTATTTTCCTGGAAAATGATCATATGCAAATTAAGTTAGAGTTAAGTGATGAAGCAGTTTGCAGTTCAAAATTAATCACTTAATATTTTTTTTAAAATGTAGAAACTATTTATCAAAAACAAAAAGATACAGCAGCTGTAAACATGTTGCTCTAAAAATCATGGAGCATCAAATTTCAAAAGTATTGGAAACTATTGTAGCCACACATCAATGAATATAAATTCATAAAAAGTAACTCCTGCATGATGAAAAGAAAAGGCTAATTTCCCCCAAATTTACCAATAGTCAAAATTATTTTTCATAAAAATATATAAATAAAATTGAATTAAATTTTTGGATTTGTCACTGTTGAAAATTTTTCTTTAATGTACAATATGTTTTTGTTCAATATATTTTGGGATATCTTAAAAATAGTACAAATAGCATCCATTTTCTATTCAATTTAAAAGATTTTAACTAGTCAGAACAAGGTGCATTTAAAAAATTCATTTTCTATTAAAATAAATACACAACAATCTTAAATTTTTAACATTAATAACATAAAATAACAGAAGCCTAACATCTAGCATTTGTTACTTTTGTTGAAATATTAAGATTTAGGAATATTTGGCAAAATTTTGATCAAATCAATTCATACCTGATAACTACAAAATTAAAATATGACCATGCTTCATTTAAACAAAAAGACATTAGAATTTTAGATGATTTTTAGGCTAAAATTGATTAGACTCATAATTAAGGACTTTTTAAAGACCTAATTGAAATTGACATTATCTCTTCACTTGATTTTTCAATGTTTCAATTATAAATTTTTTAAAGGGTTATTCAACGCAAGACTCAAGAGCCACTTGTGGTAGAGTGAATGAGGAGGTAGAAGGAAATGAAGATCATGAGGATAAGGAAAATAGATAGCAGTTGACCTTTGATTTGAAGAGCTTAAGATTGTGATGTTCAGGGAAGCATACACACAGGAGTTTTTTTTTTTTTCCAGAGTAGCAGTTGCTGTCCAAGTGGAACCTTATGAATGGAAAATGTGGGCAATTAAACTTAGAACTTATTCAATATACACTAACTGCAAAGAACTGAACTAGTTGAACTAAAGAGTAGGGCTTATCTGAATATTTCCCACTGAAATAGCAATAGAGTATCAATAGGCTTGTAATATTATGTCTATAGGAAAGCAGCTGTAAAGCAGAAAATAAGCTGTTTCCTACAATACCACATAAATCATTTTGAACCATCAAGGCTGGAAAGTGATTATTTGGCAGCATTGCATTCTTTTGGTCTAAATTGAACAATGTATATTATCAATGATAATGTCAGATTAAAATAACCTGTTTAATCTGACTGAGAAAATATGCAATAGAAAGAGATAAACAAATTCACAGTTGAGACAAAAGTCAAATAACAGAATTTTAAGAATATTTTTGCAAGTTCAAACCAATATTACATTTATGAACTTCCTGAATCAAAGTCTTTCTATATAACAGAAACAAATTGCTAAATTGTAGATCAGATATCAAAGAATATGTAACAAAGATCAAGACTAGAGTTATACAATTTTTCATCTGATTTGTTAATAACAGAAAAACAAAATGAATAGTCACTTTAAGTGTAGTCACAGTTTACTTTTTTTTAAATTCTGAATTATTGAAGATTCAAGAATCACTTGTTTGGATTCTTCAAAGGCATAGAAAAAGGTTTTAATTCAGAAAGAAACCTCCTTTTTAAAATCAACGCCATTCCTAGAAGTATAGCTTTGAAAAATTTCACTTAACAATACTTTAATTCTCAAGAAATAGGCTGCTTTGATTGATGCTACTCTAAAACTTAAAAATAAAAGAATCTAGTTATTTTACGTAAAAAGGCTTATTTCATTTCGCAAGAGACATTTTTGGATATTGACAGTTTTAAGGGTTTGACCGTCTTAAAACTAAGAAGGAATGAATGTTGTGATTAATTCCTTTTTCGGTCTTAAGATGTCAGATGCTTAAAAAAAAAAAAAAAAAAAAAAATAGTTTTCCTTCAAATTTTTTTTTATCGATACCGTTTGTTGAGCGATTACATAAATAAGAGAGAAAGAGAAAGTAATATTTCAGGTGACAGCTAATAAGAAATATTTGTAATAGATTATCATCCAGTGGTATGTTGTCGTAGTAAAACTATTGAAATCCTCAAGAAGGAGGAAGAGGCCATTGCTGCTGCTGCTGCTACGGAATCGACAAAGCATCAAAATTGAATTAGTTCAACAAGGGATTTCGGTCATCCGCTCGATACCATCTCCCTCCTTTTGTAAAAACTATCAAAGTATTAGCAATATAATAAAACTATAGGGATTCCTTTTTTATTCGATCTCAGATTATTGTATATACGATGATAAAAAAGGAAGACGACAAAAAGAGAAAAAAAAAAAAAAAAAAAGAAGTGGAAGACTTAAAGACCCCAGACACCGCCAATAATGAAATGCAAATTGTGAATGTAATGACGATATGGATAAATCTGCATTTTGAGTGTTAGCAAGTCTTTACAAGAATTGAAATAAAGAAAAATATGGTAAAAAGAGTAAAGACAGATTACCAAATACGTTTAATAGGAATTAAAGAAATATACAGCGATTTAGTGAAAATTTGCACTGCTATAGTATGTGTGACATTTAAATAAATTCGTTGTAAAGGCGGCAGTTAATAGGAATTTAATTACAATATACATTAGAAATAAAATTAACGAAATCTTTGATAAATTCTAATCAAAAATCATCCTTTTCCTAAAACCTTAGGTCTTTTTTATCCATTCTAATTTTCTTTATCACAGCCTTTTTAATCGAATATTTTATCCTCAACTGTTAAATTTATCTTCCGAAAAAGCAATTAGCTATTTTAGAAGAGAAGACGTATATAAATTTCGTTTTTTTGTTGTCATGTTTGAATAATTTAAAAATTAAAATCGAATTAAATTCTCAAAATAAATATAAATTATAAATCGTACACTGAATTTTTCAAGTGAAGAAAACCTCCGATTTTTTTTTATAAAATTCAATGAACCATCAAGTGTTGGAAATAAAGAGACATCAAAATCCCGTGACCGGAGACTCCCCCACCCCCAACCAAAAAATAAATAAAAATAAAATACTTAAATTTATCAGCATTTTTAAAATTAAAGTACTTGTGTTTTACCGTTATGTTATTATTTAACGAAAATGGAAATTTGCAAGAGGTTAAGACCAACAAGAAAAATATAAAAATAAATTTTAAGGAAATTTAAGATCTTTTTATCCGATGTCCCAGGACTTGATAATGATCGTTTTAAAAACCTGTTTACAATCCATTTTACTTCTTTATGAAAAGACATAACATGGATAATATTTTAAGTGTTCAATCTTCTTATACAATGCAAAATTGTGTTCTATATTAGAGTAGAAAAACCTCAGTAAGGTTTTTCATAAAAGTAAAGACTTAAAAAAAAAAAAAAAAAAAAAAATCAAGTAAATACTAGAGCCATATTTTAACAGTGTTATTAATACTAACTACCATTAGAAAAATGTTCATTACACCGCTGTCTTTTGTAATTCTTTTTACATCTCATCAATAATAAAAAAAAAAAAAAGATGTAAATAATCATAATTATGCTTCAGAAGGATATTTCTTACGATCGGATCATTTAGTATACTTTTAGTTTTACGCATGAAATATCGCCAGTATTTTCTCTTCTTCAGCTTGTCATCAGAGGCAAAAAGGGAGCATGGGGGGCCCCTCTACTAACAGCCCGTGTACAATTATATTTAAAACGTCAACAGCCCTTAAAATACAATAGAATAATCGGTTACTCTCCGGACTAAAATTCAAGATTAGGTGATAAAGATTAGAAAATAAACATTAAAACACCAACATTAGAAATTACATTTTTAAGTTCCACAACTGAAGGGAGCAAGCTGGTTTAATTTCGTTCGCTCCGGCATAATCGGGCGAACGAACATATCCCATTCACAAACAAATACACTCATCTGACCCTAATAAATAGCTTCTTCAGAAAGAACATTATTAAAAGATTTTAACAGATACGTACCTGAACATCTTCGTTCCTTAATTCGTCGATTAAAACTGCAATAGGATACAACGAATCATCACTCTGATCACTGGTCGCCATTTTTCCTCAATCGCTTTTGATAGTCATGCATTTTTATGGGAACATCATTATTTTTTTTTTTTGGTTGAATTTTTAATAAGAAATAAAATAAACGCCAAATAACACTTAAATAAAAATATATAATGTTATCCGTTATTTCTATGACAAATTTCAAAATAATATTGAAATTATTTAAAGTTGACACTTTGGTATGGAGACAAATATGAATATGCTAATGACTTTACTAAAGTTAGTATTTTTTTTTCATTCCGGTAAATGAAATTTACGTTATAACACAGAAGAAGCAATTCAAAGCAAAGTTGTCAAAAATAGTAGGTTTTAAATTTGAAATTTACAATTTACTAACGAATCATCACTTTGGTTTGGAGATTATATGTGAGTGATATGCTAATGACCTATGACGTATTATGATAACTCGCAGTTTGTAGCACATGGCTGTTTCTCAGTAAAACACGTGAATTGTCATACAAATAAATGTATTTAATTTACAATGAATACGAAATATAGATGGATAATTTTAGCATGTATGCATTGTCGTCACCACTAAGGAAAAAAAAAAGTTTGCGTCATAAAAAAACAAAAACTGCAAATAATTTAATTCATCTGTGTGTAGTGTACAACTGAAAGTTCTCTGATCATTAACACAATTCTAAGAATTATTCAAATGTTTACACTTTACAGTTTACTTATTTACATGTGATACATTTTATACAAACCTCAAAAGGATGATAATTAGCTACATGCGCACACAGATGCCCACACCAAGAGAGAGTTTAGTAAAGTTAGTATTTATTTCGCAATATTACAATCAATATTTCATATCTGTTTAAAAAACTTTAATAATTGACTTGTTAGTTAACTTTGGTAGGTGCACAATTTAAAATGTTAATTAAACTGCTATATGCATGAAAAATGAATGTTAAAATATTTAAGAACCAATATGGTGCTAAAATAGGTTATCGCGTAAAATCACCATTAAGTCCAAAATTAATCTGTGATAAAAAAAAATAATCGTAAAAATAAGTAAATCCCCACCTTACACTTAGGGTTTTCAATTTCAAAGAGTTACCTCCCTTAAATTGAATAAATTAAATCTACTAGTAGTCTTCAGCAAAAATTAGATAGATATTATAGATAATAGGTAACACAATCAATATGCAATAAATGATGAAGTTATGCTGATTTTCTCGGGGTGCACAGGGCTGAGGAAATTGGAAAGTCTAACAATCAAATAGAATAAAAAAAGAAAAAATAGAAATCGTCTTCAGATCCTTAAGCCAAGGAAGACCATAAGGTTCACTGACAGGAGATGTATGGTAAATATACACAAACAGAATAGATTCAGATACTTAAGTCCTAGGAAACTAATGCTTCTCTAGATAGGCCTGAGGTCAAACATCCACAAACAGAGAGGGTAGATATTAGCAAGTTTCCTTCAAATCCTAAAGCTTAAAAGTCTCTAGTTAGGATCTAAAGTCAATATTCACAAATTTTTTTCTAATTTTTAAATGCAAAAAAGGTGTCCTTGGTCAGGTTCTAAGTCAGATATTCACTTCACAGACTGGCACAGTAGATATGTAGTAGTGTTCAAAATGTAATAATTACAATAGTGTGTGAAGACTTTCAAGGCATGTCAAAAACCTACCCAAAAAGAGAATCAACACACACCCCCACATATATATATATATATATATATATATATATATATATATATATATATATATATATATTTAAAAATATTACAAACACTAACCTTTTCTGCTACCGCAGTTTACACCAATGACAATTATTATGAGTGGGTACAAAAAGTATGCTGTGGTTGTAGTATCTGTTCCATGCCAGAGACCATCTCTCCTCCCTTGAGTTCTCACCCTCCCCCCATGTTGTATAAACAGAATTCTCAGATTTCTTCCATGACATCTGTTCCATAGCAGTGGAATGACTAGCTTTGACAAGCTATGACCAGCTAAGACTAGCTTGGGCTAGCAACCCAAGTGGAAACACTAGGGACCCCATGTTAAAAACTGACCTTGTGTCACAACCTGACTCAGTGGGAAGTCAAGGTAAATCCCGGGTTCCTCATTCAGAAGAACTCTCTGTTGAACTCTCTGCCTTTGGGGAGTGAGGAATCCAGACAAGGCAATGCCAAAGGGCAGAGTCTCATCTGGGGAGGTAGACAAACCTGAACCCATGTATGTGGATTGCCCCACAAAAAATAACAGTCCTATGCCACATCCTGCTTCATGGGGAGGTCAAGTAAATACTGGCTCTTCTTCCAGAATGAAATGTTCTGTCGGGAGCTGCCTCAAGAAAGTAGCAGTTGACTTCCGCTTTAATTAGCATTGAAGGCAATTCCTCCTATTTTTTTTTTGCTTTGCTTTCTCTCTCCCTTTTCACATCTATTTTTTTGAAAAATGCTGTTCCAATTATCTCAACTAGAAATTCTTTTTCTAAACTTTACTATGCTTTCTGCTCTGGTTTTAGCAGTTGTTTAAGTTCCTGCCAGGCCATAGAGCAAGCCCAGACCCTTTGTTTGTTGAGTTACTAACATTGCTTTGTTAATTTTCTAACACACCATGTTCTGGTGTAGTTTTTGGCTCATCACCATTTTTATATTTTTTGCCATTTCTGGCATGTTCAATTTCTTTTCCCACCAATTCTTACTTGGTGTTTAAACACAGCATTTGAATATTTCAACACATGTCAGTTTTCCTGTTCAACACTTTTGTCCATGCAAACCAAATGTTTTCTATGACATCAACCTTCTACTTCGAACCTTGCCACTTCTGGCATATCTGATTGATTTCCCACCAACAATTTTGGTCTAAGTCAACATCAATCAACATGTAGACATCTTGAATTCATTTTTATAGATTTTATTCACCATCCACAAATGAAGGATATTAAGTAATTTCTTTCATGCTTTATTAACAAACTTTGGTCTATCCTTTCTTTGACGACACACATATTCTCCAGATTATACAAATGGATTTTCTGTTCCTCTTCAAGAACTAATTCTTAAATCTTTTGTATTGATATTAATGTCCACAAGTTTTTGTTATGAACTCTATTCCTTTTGTCAGAACAATTTTTGCTTTGTCCTTCATCAATGTTACTCAGCCATTAAAGTCTACAAAATATTTTTCAACTGCAACTCAACTTCTTTTGTCCGGGATAATACCAAAAAGAAAAGACTCGACCTTTCCCAAATGTTACTTCAGCACTAACGTTACTGAGTTTCTATCAAACAAACTCAATCTTTCTTCAAGGAAACTACATCAAATACATGAATACTTCTGAAGGACCTTTTTACATGCAATTGTTTACACTTTGTTTATTACAAGGACTTTTTAGATTAATTATTTGCAGAAACATTCTCTATATCTTGGAAGAACTAATAAGCATAATTTGATATTTCTTTTCAGCACATTCTTGAAATCATTTATCCATTTTGCATAAATATCTTTTTTTATGTAGTCTTGGTTTTGGTGCCAAAAATAAAATTTGGTTTTATTTTAATCAAGTACTACTCCCTTGTTGTTTTGTATCAGTTTGTTGTCAACTTACTATCTTCTGAACAATTTTGTTTGCGGACCTTTTTTCTCCAACACACAGCTAACCACAAAAGTATATTTGAAGTGCATGTACTTTTGGATGAGAGCCCTGAGGTCACATTATGCTTTAGTCTTAGCCACTTTCTGGCCAATTTGTATTGCTATAAACATATGATGGACAGTGATAATTATTTTGACCTTTTTCTCCTTAAAATTAAAATAATCTTCTCATGACAGTTACAATTAAAAGAAATATGAATAAAAAAAAATCACCTCCTCTTTAATCTTTCTTTCTTCAATATTTGTACTAATTTCTGTAGTGTAGAATTTTTTATTGTGAAATATTCCCCAGATATCTTAGCATTTTGCAAAACTAATTTAAAATCTTCTATCATTACTAATGAAGAGAGTATATTCTGTGTCTTTCAATTCAGCCAAATAGTAAATTTCCATAATTGTTTCCCTAATAATTCTGATCAACATACTTCTTTACTTGATTTGTTCTTTACCTTCTCTCTTGGTTCTTGTCAAGCATCCCAACTCTGTCCTCATGGTAATTCAAATCACAATGTAGTATCTGTTGATATTTCTTTTGAGTCATCTATTAGACATGAACTTCCTATTCACAAGACTTTTTTTCTGTTCCCAACATACTGATTGGGATTCATTTTGTGATTTTTATTTTGCAACATCCATTGGAGTAGAATTTTAAAATTTCCTATTGAGAATTGTGCCACTGAAGTTTCTTCTTGGGTAAAAGACAGTATTCATTCTTTTTGTGCCTTCTTGAAAATGCTAGATGAAATCACAATCTTCTCCGAGGTTCACATCTGCCTGTTCAGCTGCTATAGCCTCCAGGAATCACTTTTTATGGCTGTACCAACATGATAGATCTAGATCTTTTTGCATTAATGCAAGTGTCCACCAGGGCTCTACCTTATTTGTAATTTTCATCAATGACCTTCCCAATGTGATCAGTTTTCAACTCCATATCTATGCTGATGACACAACCATATACTTTTGTTTTAATGGTAAGTCTGATCAGTTTGAAGAACATCAAATTGGCAGCTGACCTCAAAAATAACCTACAATCTGTTATTAATTTTAAAGCATCCGAAACTGCTGACTTTTAATCATTTTAGAGAACTTTTTTGCCTTCCAACACTATGGCTGATGCTAACTCATTGTGCCCTCTCAGGCTAATATTTTCTCCTAACGTGAAGATTATTTTGAATCAATTGCTAGGTCTGCTGCTAGGAAAGTTGGTTCACCAGGAAATTTTTCTCACTAGAATTTAACTTACACATTTATAAGTTGACCATTTGTCCATGCATTGATTATTGCTACATCTAGTTTGATACTTCTACTATGCACTTAGAAATTCTTAATAAAATCCAAAGAAGAATCTAGAATGTCATGTCATGACCTGACATCTCAGCTTCAGTC